AGCTGTGGAGCACAAGGAGAGGCTCCTCACGCTCCCCTCCTGACGCGTGCCGCGCGGCGGGACGCCAGCGTCCTCCAGCACTGGCAGGCTCCCAGCAGCAATACGTGGCAGTTCAACAGTTTGCTTACTTTATTCTTTTCTTTTTTTTAATTAACGGCTCTGTGTAAACCTCACTTAAACATCAAGTGCGTTCTGCTGCCACACCGAGGGAACGGTTCCCCCACTGCCAAAACTACACCACGCGTGAACTCCTGGCTTTAAACCCCAGCAGATGACAATGCCTCCCGGGTCCCCGAGCAGGGTGGGCAGCGCCAGGGGGCCGGACCCTCCTCACGCTTGGCTGGAGCCAAACATCCTTCTTGTAGGTAGTCCCGGGGAGTCAGCAGAGCTGTATAAAAAGGCACAAGCCCTCCCCGCATGGCTGTCCAGCGCTGCTGGCACCTCCGGCCATCGCCCAGTTTATGCGTTCCTAGCAAAATCCCTTTGAGAGGCATCGAGGAGGGTTCGAGCGAGGTGTGGGGACAGTGCTGCCTCGCAGCCCTCTGCACAGTTTGGGTCTGCCCTGCTCCTTCACCGCAGCCGACACTGGCTGCATCCGGGGCTCAGTAGATCTTCTGTCGGCTGGGCAGGATGGCCTCCTTGATAAAAGAGAAGATGAGGAGGATACCAGAGCGCTTGCCCCTCTTCCCCTTGGTGAAGTAGTTGGAGACCACGTCGTCTGCGGAGAGAAGGGAAGAACGATCAAACACGAACCCACTGACAGCCATGGGAGCCCTGGGATGGACCATCTGATTTCAGGGTGATGCATGAGCTGCCTTTAAAGCAGGAAGTTTCTGGTTTGCTCACATCTGGCCTACCTGGGCGTTCCGTAAGCCACTGACAGACAGCCCAAATCCCGAGCTCCCTTTCTGAAGCTGTAGGGAGAGTCCAGGGAAAGCGACAGGGCCCCAGGACAGGAGCGATGCAGGACGTAAAGCAAGAACAGCCCTCCACTCTGCTCACTCACCCCTCACCCTGCAGAAGCACCCCTTCTTCCTGCCTCAGCTTTCGGGGTTTACCCGACCAGCTGCCCCCTTCCCTGCTCTGTGCAGCGGGAATGAGGTGTGCTGAGCACAGTCCCTGGCAGAAACCAGCCCAGGCCTCAGGAGTGCTCACCTCCAGGCTGCACCGTGGAAGGCAGGACGTTCTCTCCGGCCGACAAGGAGACGAAAAAAGCAAAAGGAATTAACCACAGGCAGAACGTGAAGTAGGCGAGAACCTGCAGGCAGAGCAAGAATGGCAGTGAGAGCAATGCACCCAGCGGCCCTTCACACACCGACGTCTGTCCGGGCGGACGCCCATGAGTGCTGCTGCAGCCCCAGCTGCACACCCCTACGATACACCCCAAGTTTCTGCCTGAACCCCTCGAGAGAAAGGGCACTGAAGGGGGAGAACCGCACCTCAACTTTTCCCTGCCCAAGTCTCTTGGGTGCTGAGACAGCAGCGCTGGGCGAAGCCGATAAGGGGATAAAATTCACCCAGCAACTTCCCACGGAAGGACAGGGCTTGCAGGAAAAGCCCTAGCTCCTGTCCTAGGCTCCTAAAAACCTTTACTGCTTCCAGAAACCAGGATTTTAAAGAGCACCATTAAACAAACAGGAAATTGGCTGTGCTGTTATAATTAATTAAATCCTCTCCACACCTTCCACGGACTAAAAGGAAGAGTCAAGACCTAGGCTTGCTCCTCCTGCCCCAGGGTGGGATGCTGGCGTAGCACAAGAAGTCAGCACCTGGGGAAGCGGCTGCTGCAGTTTGAGGTGAGCTGAGCCAGCCTCCTTGCGTGCACAAGTGCTGGATAAACGTTAAACTTCATAAAAAGGTGGTTTTGTTTTTTTTTAATTTCATGGAGTTTTGTTTGTTTTTTAAATTTGCACTCACTGCCAGCTACTGTTGGGACCAAACAAGCCCCTGCATGAATTTGGACCTTCCTCTTGGCAGGTGTGAGGGTGGTGAGACAGAAGAATCAGCACATGGAGTCATAAAAAAAAAAAAAAAAAAAAAAAAATCTGTGCTTAAAATTCAACATTTCTTCTGCCCTTCAGCTGGCTGAAAAAGCCCCAAGGCCACAGCCAAGAAAAGAAACTGCAGCTTCCCTGCTACTTCTGAGGGAACAAGCACAGGAACCCCCAGGGAAAGTCTGTGAAAAATACTCTCGCAGTGTGTCTTACTGCTGACCAAAAAAACGGCATTTTTCTCTTCCCCCCTCCCACCAGCAGCTCCACGCTGCCTGGAAGAACATGGATCGACTCCTTCCCGAAGGTCTCTCACCTCAGAGAACAGGTAATACTCCTCGGCGAAGTACTGGAACGCTAAGTAGTGATTGAATATAACCAGCACTAGCAAAGGAAAACAGCAAAGTCAGTCTCCAGCCTACAATCAACACCATTGGTTTATCTCAAGGCCCCCGAAAGAGGACATCCAGCTCCGCTGCGGCAGCCCCTGCGAGGAACAGCTCCTCCCTGCTGCGCATCCCCTTCCCCGCTGCCCCTTACACCTGGAATCCTGCTGTTGCTAAAATATTTTCACGCATCTAGTGAGAAATGGTGTGAGCAGCCAGAGCCTCCCCGATCCCAGCTCCAATTTGTTACTCTGTGCAGCCCCGGTCAAGTCCCTCGTCCCTCTGGTGCTTTATTCTCTGTGTCCCCAAGGGCACCCTGAAGAGCCCAATCTGATACTTGCTAATGCTGCACAATGCCGGGAGAGGAAGCAAAAAAACCCCACATCCCCAACAGCTGCTGCAGAGAGCAGCTTTTCTGCCATCTGTAAACCAAGTCAAGCTGAAATGCGGCCAGGACAGTAGAGTTTACACTGTCCGCAGCAATGAAAAACATCACTTAGCTCTTAAGAGGCAGGATTTGGAGCTTCCTTTTGCCTTTTAGTTGAAATGCCAAGACAGCGGCCCTAGCTCAGGAGCACTGGGTCAGCAGAGCCCCAGCAAGAGCCAGCCCCGACATGAAGCGCTGCGTCCTGCACTGTTTTATCGCCCTCTCCAGCCTCAGAACGTCACCAAAGAGCCAGATGAGAGTCCGGGTCTGCCAGAAAACACAGCTCCTGATCTACACACCATAGGACAGCTACACTCATTTTCAAGTAGTGGATAAAATCCTGCCTACGTGAATGCTTTGAGGAGCAAAGGTGTTTTAGCTGTACACAGAGAGCACCCTGAAATATGCATAAGGGCTCCAAAAGTCATGCTGGAAGAAATTTTGCCCGTTTGCTACTTAAGGTATCACTACAAATCACTTGGAGCAGAGTCCTGAAGTCAGATCTGTGCACAGGACACTAAAACATGTAGGAAACTCAGCAACTCATGGTTGGAGGAAACCATTTGACCTACTCAGAGCAGCCAAAACCCAGTTTAACTGGCAGAGCTACTGGCCCACCAGCAGAGCTACTCCCAGGTTCAGCCTACAACACGGCTCTGGCTGTTCATCAGTCGAGCGCGGCAGACGAACCACGAAGCTGACCGCTTCGGCCAAAATATGGGTGCTGTCAATTTAAGCCCCTGCCCAACCCCACACCAGAACCCTGCGCCCATGCCAGCTGCTCAGGAGAGATCCTCGTGCCCATCTCGCACCAGGGCTTGCCCAGGCAGCCCACAGCCCAGCCAGGGATGGAGCCACAACGGCCACAGACACAGGCTCGGCAAATACCACAGGAAAGGTGCAAACGTGAAAAATAAAAATCCCTGATTTAAGCTCGGCAATGCACTTCTCTAACGTGGCTTTCTCCAGTAACCCAGATGAATTTCCACATTAATTGTGGACATTTGTTTCAAAGCTTTTCTTTCTCTAAACATCAGTTCCTTAGGACACAAATGCACTGTGACACACAGTCCAGCCTGACATCAGGCTGTAATTACACACACCAGGTTTTTTAGTTTGCTTCAGATCCCTCCTGCTCTTTACAAAGACACAGCGAATGCCCAGAACAGGAGGTCTGCAGGGAGGACGCCGAGCTTTGGGCTAGCTGGAGGGTGAAGCAAAGGGTGCCCGGGAAAGCCCGTCGTCCCTGTCTCTGTGCTGGGACACACAACGCAGGCTCTTCCCACACCAGCAGGCCCAGCCCACAATTATTGCAGCCACGTCATAAAGCACAATTAAAAAGTACTGCACAAAGCTCAAAGTCTTTCCAAAAGCCACGCAGGCTGCAAACAACAAAACCCAAACCTTTGCTGCCACCCAGGGCCCACCCGGTGATGGGGGTGATGAGGCTTCCTCTGCCCCCACGCCCACTCCCACCCCAGCGCCCCCTCCCACGGGAAGGCTACAGCCCCACTCACCACAGGACAGTATGAAGTTGGAGGACGTCAGAACGATGAAGGGGAAAGTCTGCAGCAAACCAAAGTAGACTAGGTTGGTGAAGAGCCCCACGCCCACCATGAAACCGGGAAAGTGTTCAAAGAGGTAGAGGCCGACCAGCACGGACGAGGAGAACTAGAAGAGAGAACAGGGGCTGCCTGCGGCAAACACGGGGGTGCAGACTGCATGCAGCTGTGCAAGCAGGGATCCTGCCACGTTCAAGGTGATATTTAGTGAGCTCTGATGGCACCACATCTCCCCATGCACCTCCCACTCGGCACCAGCCACTTGGGAAAGGTCCAAATGGGAATCCCACCTTGTTGCTGTGGCTGCTAGTAGGACACATCACGGCTGTGCCTCAATTTCCACAGCCAAGGAGGAAGAGGTGTTGCCCAGGAGAGGTTAGGCAGGACTGCCACCTCCCTGGTGAAGTGATGTGCCGATTGAAGCAGCCCCTGCTAACCTCCTTCCTCAGGAGCCGGAGCTGCCTTGGGGCCAGGGGAAACAGGAGCTTCCCAAGCACTCGTCCCCTCCGGCCAGAGCAGTGGTCCCATGCCACAGCTGCTCTGCCAGCCCCGCTGCTGCCCGGGGGGTGATTTCAGCAAGGAGCTGCCCGTTTCTGCAAGCACAGGGACTTACCCAGATCATGTATTTGATTATCCTCCTGGTGACAACCGTGTACTCCTCGATCAGCTCCGCCAGGTAGTACAGTCCAGCAGCTGCGGGAGAAACGCCTGGCTCAGCGCCACGGGCCGGAGCAGGGGGACAGCAGGGAGCGGGGCAAACATTGGTGCCTTCAGCCGGGGGTTCCATGCTCACCCACTCCGGGAGAGACTGAAGGGCAGGGTGCCCCGAGCAAATCTCGGCAGCACCCAGGGGACCCCCAAACTCTGGGGCTTCCACAGGACCTCAGGAGCACTGAGGGGCCTCGTGGGCACCCATGGGGCAACCCCTCCAGTCTCTGGGGGATCCACAGGACCTCAGGGGCACTCAC